AAATAAATAAACAAGCAAAATATACACATTAAAGTCCTTGGTTAATGATAGGGAAGAGGCTAGACTTGTAATTTCACTGCTTTGGGGAATTCTTGGATGAGGAAACTTCTTTTGCCATTTCAGAATCAATGCACCTTCTCTGAAACTCAGGTTCTTACAGGATTGCCTGGAACAGCAAGAGACTAAGTGGTTTGCTCAAACTCACACAGACAGTATGAAAGGCAGGGCTTAAATTTAGGTCTTCCTGGCTCCAAGGACAAGTTGGCAACTATGGCCTCCTGCTAGAAGATGACTATCTATAAACGAAGGAGTTCAAAGTTACTGACATGTTGGTAACACCATAAATTCAGATTGACGCCAATCTTTGTAAAAGCCTTGGGCTAGCTGTCAGGACAAGTTGTGCTGTGTGCAGACTTAAAGCTATAGCTACAGATTGGTGAGCTGATAACATGTGGGAGCAGATAAAAAGTTGGACTGAGTCAGGAGAGACCTGAGGATGAATCCCTTCTATGACACTTATCTGCATAACCACCATGAGCAATTCATCTCACATCTCAGAGCCTCCATTTCCTCATTAGTAAAGTCATACCCATAGTGCCTACTTCACAAGGTTGTCATGAGGATGCATAAAAGCACTTTTTACACCCTTCTATAAATGTGAGCAATTATCATCTTTACCAATAGTGCTGGGATGACTTCTCCCAAATTTTGGCAGAGTACTTCTTTGAGGGATGCAGGGCTCTGGTGAACTTGTCCAAGAGTTTATATGACTCTCACTGCTTTCTGGTTTCTGCTTCTGAAAGTTAAAAGGAGTGGATAGAGTGCTGGGCCTGGAATCAGGAAAACTCATCTTCATGAGTTCAAATATGGCCTCAGACACTAACTGTGTGACCCTGGGCAAGTCACTTAACCATGTTTGCCTCAGTTCCTTCACCTGTAAAATGAGCTGAATAAGGAAATGAAAAACCACTACAGTATTGTTGCCAAGAAAACCCCAAATAGAGTCACTTAAAAAATTATCTTTTATTGAAATTGCAGAATACTTTATTTATATTACAGTAAATTTTATTGGAAAATTGGGGGAGAAATCAACCTTTAAGAATACACTCATGTTGACACCAAGTAAGCCAGCCAAACCAGGTATAAACCAGGGGACTTTGCTTTTTCTATTTGTTTTTAAGATTTTGAATAACACACACACACACACACACACACACACACACACACACACACACACAATTCTACAACATCAGGTTAATCCCCCTGAAGATAATTCAACAAACACTTCCAGCAAGGAGTTAAGAGCTAGAGGAAGAATGCCATTATTTACAGTCTATAGAGGCAATGCTATAAGTAATAATTATGACCTTCAAATAAAAGATGAGTTGAAGTAGGATGCTATTGATAAAATTTTGGTGGTCATGTGGTACCCTCATAAGCCCAGATTAGGTATTTCTGTTCTAGTTCAATAAATTTTTCAATATCCAGTTGTTTAAAATATTGTTTCCAATACAAGTTTTTCTCTCCTTTGATTTAGAGTGTATGTTCTCTCTTAAAGTGAGTTTTATTATAGTATCACAAGAGAAGTTTAAATGTTTTTAAAAACTCTTCTAACATATGCATACTACTGCAGCCAATCAACTTAATGAAGCCAATGTCACACAGGTTTGATTCCCTAGGCTTTCCCAAGGCTAAATAGTGCTTATCTTTTTACTGGTGAGATACACAGATATGTATGTATATGCATATGTCCATGTATGTGTGTATTATTTACATATATACACACACAGACATATACACGTGGATACATGTATATATATATATGTACATATATATGCATGAATATGTATGTCTATATGCATACACATACATGTATGTACATATAGGTACACATACAAAAAGCATATGCTTTGTGCGTTTTATGCATGTGGGACAGTACAGATTTTAACCAACAACATCATATATACAGCCATCTAGTGGGCCAGTAACACATATTTTACCTGTTGGAAGCACTTGTGAATACACAATCTAATGTATTCATTTGGTGCAAAAGATTAAATTATTTCAAGGAAAATGGATTTTACTCTAGAGCTTTATAGAAAAAGAGATTTAAGTTACTATTCTTCTACCCTCCAGCCTGTCCTCTTTCTGATTTATAGCCTCCCTTATTTTGCAAATCTTCCTGTTTACTAATCAAAAATATCATCATTGGAGAAATAAAGTAGTTAATATCTATCTTGAAATGCACTTTAAGGATCTATAATTTTATTAGTATGTGTTCTCCCTCTGCTATAATGTGCACCATGGGATCATAGATACAGAGTTAAAGAGATATCAGGTACCATCCAGTCCAAGCCCCCTATATTACAGATGAGGAAATGGGCCCAGCAAGGGTCTTATTGCATGTTAGGAAATGTCATAAGTGAGGTCTGAATAAAATGAGGTTCTTTAACTCCAGAACCTCACATTATTCAGTAAATTTTCTTTCCACTATACCACACTGCCTCACAGACCCTCTAACTTAGAAGAGGGTCTTTGAGAGTAACTTTGACCAAAACATTTGTCATCTTCTGCCCAACTTGGTGAAAAGCCTCTCTGAACTTAGACTTAGACTCATATGGACACGTGGTCCATCACCAGACCAGTTCTCAAAGCTTTCTCAGCTTGATAGGATAGCCACAGTATGCATTCTATTGACATAGATTTCTAGAACACAGGTATACCCCTAAGCCATGATGGAGTATTGGAGTGGCATCGTGGTGAAGGTCTCGTAGGGTGATATTTGAAAAGCATCATATCAAGATTTGAAAATCAAAGAGACTTATTAAGGTTGAACTGTTTACATTCCTGCATGGAAAGATGATATTTGTAACTCATGAGACCTTTGTCAGTATTAGGGTAGTTGGAGGGAAAAAATTATATGTACGTATATATAGATATAGATAGATAGATAGATAGATAGATAGATAGATAGATAGATAGATAGAGGGCACGGGGTGAGTTGAAAATGAAGGGGTCATATCTGGAGAATAAAATTAAGGGGTGAGAGAGGAATATACTAGGAGAAGGAGAAAGGGAGAGGTAGAACGGGGTAAATTATCCCACAAAAAAAAAAAACAGAAAAGAAAAGGCTCTTACAGTGGAGGGGAAATGGGGGAAGGTGAGAGGGAATGAGTGAATCTTATTCTCATAGGATTTGAATTAAGGAGGGAATAACATACACATTCAATTGGGTGTGGAAATCTGTCTTACCCTACAGGAAAATGGGGGGAAGGGGACAAGAGAGTAGGGGAATGATAGAGAGGAGGGCAGATTGGGAAAGGGAGTAATCAGAAGCAAATGCTTCTGAGGAGGGACAGGGTCAAAAGAAAGAATAGAATAAATGGGTGCACGGGATAGGATTAAGGGAAATAGAGTTAGTTTTTCACAGCATGTCTACTATGGAAGTGTTTTGCATAACTGCACATATATAACCTATATTTAGTTGCTTGCCTTATCAATGAGGGTGGGTGGGGAGGGAGGAAGGGAGAAAATTTGGAACCCAAAGTTTTAAAAACACATGTTTAAAAAAAATGTTTTCACATGCAACTGGGAAATAAGAAATACAGGAAATGGGGCACGGAAATCCATCCCGCCCTACAGGAAAATTGAAAGGGAAGGGGATAAGAGAAGGGGGCAAGAGATAGAAGGGAAGGCAGACTAGGGGAAGGGGTATTTAGAATGCATGCCATCTTGGGGTGGGGGGAGGGGTGAGATCGGGTGAAAATTTGGAACTCAAAATCTTGTGGAAGTAAATGTTGAAAACAAAAAAAAAATTAAAAAAAAAAGATGAGAAAATCATGAGGAAGTACTTTAATGGATTAAAAAAAATCTAGTTGTCTTATGTTTCATTGCAACATTTGAAATACATTTTCTAAAAGTTTATAATAAAATTCCCAAGCATTCTAAAATGTGCACAGTACCTGAGACTACAGTCTTCCAAATGTAACACTCTAAAGTATGCAGGTTGATTTCTATGAGCTTCACTTTGCCAAATGTATGTTATTTTAACTCTATGGTAACTTAAAAATCTGTCCTGTCAACTTGTTAAGTCATACACCTGGGAAGGTGGGTGGTAGAGTAAATAAAGTCATCTAATCTCTCTCAGTCTCTGTTTCTTTGTCTAAAAAATAGGTATAATAATAACACCTACCTTCCAGGGTTGTCATGAGGTTCAGATAAGATAACATATGAAAGGCACTATATAAATTCTAGCTATTATTGTACAACCTCCATTTTGTTTTCCTCATCCTTAGCCCATATTGGTTTCTCCTACCTCTGAACTGCACTTGGAGCCTGAGCAACACAACTTGGTGTGTGACCATACCTCATATGACATTGACTCTCTAAACTGTGGTTAGGTACAAAGATTCCAAACCACCCTTTTCAAAACAGAAACAACTGCAGCTATTGTAGAAAGAGGCGGCTTTCCATAGCTGAGAGAGGACAAGCCTTGGTGTTAGAAAGACCTAGGTTCAGGTCTCCTACCTATGTGACGTTGGGCGGATCACTTAGCTTATCTGTATCCCAGGCAACTTTTTAAAACAAACTATAACACAGTTGTGTCAGAAGAGTGCTCCTTGCACTGATTTTTAAAAATCAAATTTTAAAAAATTACGAACTTGATAAACATCAAAAAACACTAGCATTTCCATTTACAAAGAAGAACATGAAAAGAGAATTATATACATGAAATATTGAATCTCTACCATGTACAGCTTGGTTTCAATATCAGATATAATAAATTTCACATGGTGATACCTACTATACTCCTTATGTGTGAGCCTCTGTACAGTTTCCTATACTGAGGCTGTATCCTGAACATTTCAGGTACAGGGCCCTGCACATAGAAGACAATGCTTGCTAACTCACTGATGAAATCATGAATACAGACCAAAAAAGAAAAACAACTATTCATAACCTAAAAGCATAAATGCAAAACATATGAAGATAGCACATACCTTGTGACTAAAGTCTCTTCTGCCTGTTCTTTATGCAGAAGGTGTTGGAAGTAGTCTTCTATTGCCTGAGCAGTTAAGATTTTTTTTAAGTACGGATAATAGAGGGGATGCCGTGCTACAATGCCTGCAACATATAAAACATTACATCAGAAGGATGGCAATCCATAAATAATCAGATACCTCATATTATCTTCAATATTAGCATGTGGACTAAATCTATTTAGGAATAAGTCATGTATTTTCCATATTTACAGACCAATGGAATATTGCCAACCAAGGGCAAATAGTCCAATGAGTATTTTCATAGTCCAATAAGTATTCTTGAACTGGTTTTGTATATTTCCACATTTCTACATTGATTTCAAGGGATAATTGTAAAATTCTAAAAACTATTAATTTAATTAACTTTAATTTGGAAAAGAAGCACATTACACCCTGTGTAGTTGGGTGGGAGACCTGCAGGAGTAGTAGAAAGGTGGGTTTCAGCTATCTTTGCTACATTAGTTTAAAGAAATTGTGAGGTCTTTTTTCCCCTTCAACAAGAAAAAGATCTTCTATTGACAAATTTGCATCTCAGACAAGAATGATCTGTGTATAACTGGCTAACCCATGCCTTTGGCTCCTTTTAGCTTAATAGAGTTAACTTGGTTGCAATAATTGATATTAACTGTAAACAGAGCTTAGCTAAAGAATTCAGAGTTCATTAGTCAGGCACAATCAATTCAGTGCAACAAACATTGTTAAGTTACTACTGTGTTCAAAGCTTTGTGCTACATGCTAGCTGCACAAAGACAAAACAATCCTAGCCCTCAATGTGCTTGCTTTTTGTGGAAGATAACAACAAGTAAAGCAGACAAATAAATAGAAGGTAATTGGATAAGGAGCTATTACAACTAAAAGGGGGAATGGGAATCCTGAGCGGAATAGTAAGAGAAAATAAGGATTCTAAGAAGCAGGAGGAAAAGAAGAATTATATTCCAGATATGGGGGACAGTTTGTATAAATTTATGGAAGTGAGACATAGAATCTCCAATTCACGGAATAGCTCGTGGTCCACTTTAGCTGAGACATAGAGTACATGAGGGAGATCATGAAAAATAAATCTAGAAAGGTAGGTGGGAGCTAGACTGTGGAAAGGTTTAAACACCAAACTAAAGTGTTTGTATGTTATTCAAGAGGCAAGAAGGAGCCCCAGATAGGCTTTTTAGTAGGGTCATGGCATGGTCAAAGCTTTGTCTTAGGAAGATTATATCATTATATGTGTGGAGGACAGACTGGAGATAGGAGAGGTCGGAAGCAAGGAGAGCAATTAGGAGCCTGTTAGTCCAGATGAGAAATGATATGGACCTGAACTAAGATGGGGGTCCTAAGAAGGAGACAAATGAGAGACATGTTGCAGAGGGAGAATTAACAAGGACTGACAACTGAATGGATCTGGAATTTGGGGGATGAAGGAGATGGGAGAGTGAAGAATTCTGAGGTAGTTATAAACTGTGGTGCCTGGAAGGACGGAAATGCCCTGAAAAGAAATGGGAAAGTTTGAAGAAGAGAGGCTAAGTTTAAGGAGAAAATATAAGTTCCATTTTTTAAATTCAATTTTATTTTATTTTCAGTACCGTTTTTTTTCTCTCCCCCACCCATTAAGAAGGCAAGAAAAATAAAAACCATTACAAATATGTATAGACACATACATCAACTTTCTTCATTAGCCATCTTCTGAGAAAATTCCAAAGGAAAAAAGCAAGAAAAATGAAGAGATAGAAAATATGCTGCAATCATCACTCCAAGTCCAAGTTCTGGCAGTTGACAGCATGTTTCATCTTAAGTCCTTTGAAATTGTGTTGGTCATTGTGCTGATTATAGGTACTAAGTCTTTCAGTTTATTATCTTTTACAATATTGTTATTACTGTAAAAATTGTTCAACGAGTTTCATTTTGCACTTACAGAATTTGAGATACCAGCAGGGCATCTAGAAAAAAGATGTTGGGCAGGCATTGGCGTTCAAGAGAGAGTTTGAGGTTGCATAAGAAGATATGAGAGTCATCTGAGTAAAGATGATAATGGAACCCATAGCAACTCATGTGATCACCAACGAAGAGAGTTCAGTGTGAGAAGAGAAGGGGGCCCAGGACAATGTTGGAAGACATGCTTGCCTAGGTTATAGGAGAGAGAATGATTCAGCAAGGAAGACAGAAAATGAATGCTCAGATGAGTAGAAGGAGAAATAGGGGAGTGGGGCCATGGCAGCCAAGAGATAGAAGATTATCTACTAAGTCAGGGAATTGAAGGGTTCAAAATTATAGAAAAGTCAAGGAAGATAATGACTAAGAAAGGACACTGATGTAGCTGTTAAGGGATGGTTAGTAATCTTGAAAAGAGAAGTTTCAGAAGGGAAGAAGCAGTTAGAAGCCTAGTTGTATGGGCTTGAGAAGTGAGTAGGTGGTGAGAAAGTAGAGGTAACAATTGTAGACAATTCTTTTTAGGAGTGTGGCAGTGGAAAGGAGAGGAGATATCAATGAATCAATTAATATTTATTAAGCACCTACTATGTGCCAAGCACTGAGGATACAAAAAGAGACAAAAGATAGTCCCTGTCCTCAAGAAGTTTACAGTCTAATAGGGGAGACAACATACAAACAAATATATACAAAGCAAGCTATATACTGGATAAATGTGGAATTAAAAGGGGTTGGGAAAGGCTCCCTGTAAAAAAAAATGGGATTTTAGTTGAGACATTAAGGAGGCCAGGCTAGTGTCACTGGATCAAAAAGTATGTATCAGGGAGTAAGGTGTAAGAATGCCAGGCAGAGCATTTTGTATAGAGGCAATAGGAAGCTACTGGAGTTTACTGAGTAGGGGAGTAGGGATCCAATGATATTGGACCTGCATTTTAGGAAAATCATATTAGTGGTTGAATGGAAGATGGATTGCAGTGGGGAGAGACTTGAAGCAGTTAGATTTACCACTGGGCTATTGCAATAATCCAGGTGTGAGGTAATGCGAGTCTGAATTAGAGTGGTGGCAGTGTCAGAGGAGAAAAGGGGACATATTTGAGGGATGTTGCAAGGATGAAATCAACAGGACTTGGCAACAGCTTTGGATAAGAGGAGAGAGAGATAGTGATTCCAGGACGATTCTTGGTTTGGGAGCCTGAGGGACTGGGAAGATGGTGCCGTGCCGCCTTCTCCAGCAATAGGCAAGGCAGCAGGGGAGGAGGGTTTGGCGGAAAGATAACGAGGTCTGTTTTGGACATAGTGAGCTTTAGATGTCTACTAGACATCCTATTTGAGACGTCTCAAATGTAGTTGGAGATGTGAGATTGATTATTGATGGACTGGGTGATACTTTCAAGAAATGAAAGAGTGAGGGGGTAGGTCAAGGATAAGGTGTTTTGTTTGCTTTTTTTTGTACGGTAGGGAGACTTGTAAATGTTCTTCAGACTCCAAATGAGCCAGAGGAAGATCATGTTCATTGGGTGAGCCCTTGGAGGGGCTAAGATTAGATAGGATCCAGGGTAGAAAAGCAATGATTAGCCTTGACAAGGAGAACAAAGCAAAGAAGGAGATAGTTTTTAAGCCTTAATGGGCTTTGCCTTGGTCAAACAGAGACCTGTTGAAGCCCTCAGCTTAAAAAGGTCAAGGTCCCCACTGCAGCCTGAGCCACCTCCAGTCATTCTGATCTATATCTGGCCACTGGGTCCACATGGTTCCAGAGGAGAAAGTGAGGCTGATGATTTTGCGCAGTCCTCCCTTAAATCCAAACTGCTTGTATGTCACAGGATCACCTTCCTGATGCCATGGTCCTCTTCAAGAATGAAGCACAAATAGCAAGCAAGCAAATGTTTTTGAGGCATACAGTAGAAGAGAAGAGAACATTCAAACCAATTGTATGGAAATGTTAATGGTGAGCAAATGAGTTGAGGGGCATGACAGAGGGAGCAGCTTGCATTGGAGAGGATGGCCATGGATGTGCTATCTTCTGGGGAGAGCCATGTTTTTGAAAGGGCCTGAAAATGCCAGGAGTATGTGTTAAGATCTAGGATAAAGGGGAGTTTAACATTATGGTGGTCAGAGGATGATCTGGACTGTGGAGAGGGGTAGAGTTAAATGTAGGGAAAGGTAGTTGGGGTTGCTGGGATTGGAGAGTAGGGGGATATTTTGCTTTGGCAACTCTGAATCCCTGCAATAAGGAAAGTATACTGGGTTGCTAAGGATGCAGGAAGCTGGTAGAGGTTCCAGGGAGTTAAGGCTGGCCCTTTGCCCAAGTAAATACTTCATGATCAGGTCCCTTATCCAGACTGAATTCATGACTGTTGCTAGTTATGTAGCCTTATCCCAAAGTGGAGTCGGGAGAAATGAAGAAATGAAGAATGATTCCTCATGGAATCAGGGATCTTCTAACCTAAGAGTTATTAACTTAGGACCTATGGGCCCCTTGGTCTGTGGATAAATCTGATAATGATATTTTAAGATAACTGGTTTCCATTGTAGTCCTATGTATTTTATTTTATGCATTTTACAACATTATTCTGAGACCATGGATTTTAGCAGATTGCCAAGTTAAGAACCCCTTCTCCGATATTTTTGACATCAGTCTAAGGTTCATGCTGTCTGATGGAGCTCTGCTCCAAAACTTGGAGGGACATAAGTGCCCTTTGACACAGGTTCTGTTTAAACGTGGCTTTAGTGGTATTACTGCTTTTTATTAACTAATACCCAGGCTCTCTTAACAAGAATAGTCACAAATTCTTCTGGTTTTACACAAAGTCAACACTGAGCTTTGTGGAGACTTTCTACTACAGAATGGCTGTTTTGCAACCCATGTTTGCCAAAGGTACTCAGCATAATCAGAGGGCCCCTTAATATTTCATATGAGTGTTTAATAGGACTGAAGAATGCTCCTAAGAGTGAAAAAGGGAGAATACTATAAGAAGAGAAGGAGAATAGATGCCATATGTATACTAGGTGCTTGACTAAGTTTCTTGAATTTAACGAATAGATTGAAAGGGAAAGGAATTACAAAAATCTTGAATTTGAGATTATCTAGTCCAATCCCTAGCTGATGCACAAATCCCTTTGTGATACCTTCAAGGGATCATCCCATTTCTGCTTGATTACCTCTAACAATAAGGAGTTTACTACCTACCAAATCAGCCCTTTCCATTTTAGGTCAGTCCTAGTTTTAGAATTTCTCCTTGATGATATTAAGTCAGAATCTGCCTCCCTGAAACCTCCAGGGAGAAATATCTGGCCAAGATTTCAAAAGTTCTTGTGGGTTTTTTTCCTACTCTTTTAGGGGAAATAAACCAAGAGGAAAGAATAGAAACTGAGGAATAAGAAAGAAATATGGGATGTGAAGGATATGTAAAGTGAAAGACATTTCTCTGCAGAACCACCATTCTAAAATTCATAGAATGAGGAACTTAAAATACTCAGAAATAGGATCAGCTTTTCTGGCTTCAGAGAAAGGCAGGGCATTATTCTTTGACATTACTGTTTTGAAAGCTACAACTGAATTTTTTTTTCTTTTTTGGTAAGGTCCTAGATCAGAAATAGTTGCATTCCTCGACAGCTTAGTACCCAAATATTACAATGTATAAAAATGTGCCAAGCAGGGATTTTTAAAAACAAGATAAAGAAATACCTATATTTGCAGAGTTGCCTTTATCTCCACTTCTGGTATAGGCCAGATCTTCTAAACGATATGTCAGTGAGCCATGGGGTAGATCTATGCAAAAATAAAAAAGAAGAGAAATCTAGCCATTGGTTTGTTTGGGTTTCAGTTAGCACGGTCTCTAGCTGCCCAGTCAGAACCACTCAGTGGGTGAAAATCAATCATTGTTTTTCTAAAACTTTTCTCAGCACCCCAACAGCTTCAGTTCTTATGATGACATATGGAAATTAACATTTTTCAAAAGTTATAGCATAAATGCATTTTTCTGTCTATTAAAAAATGTCATGTTATGAAAATTAGCTCAGCAATGAAATCAGAGTTGAACACAGCATCATTTTAAGGGATCTGCAACTTCCCACAAAGGTAAAGCCATAACGAAGGGAAAATACTTGTAATTGTAATAATTCAATAATGAATGAGAAACATGTAATTTAATATTCCTTCCTTTCTGTAAGGTTTCAGGGGGACGAATCACGTTCTATATTCGTGTTGCCATTTCTTATGGAAACATATCAAGGACCTGTATTTTGTTTTTGTAGGAATTCGCTCCCCAAGGCTCCTAAGGCTAACTGGTTGTTAACTCAGCCTCTGAGGGTCAGAGAGGTTAAGGGATTTGCCCATAGTCACAGAGCTACCAGGTGACAAATGTGGGCTTTGAACCCAGGTCATTCACCTTCAAGTCCAGTTCTCTATCTATAGCACCACACTGCCCCTCCATTGCCTCTTTTTGGAACATATAAATATGTCTACATTCTGTAGAGCCGAATAACCTCTACAATATGGGCAATTTATAAATATCAGTTAAGGATAATAAAGGTGAAGAGCACAAAAGTGCAGTAAAATTGCCCCTAAAGTAGTGCAATAAGAAGAGCAGTTTAAACTACTGAATTGCCTAGATTACATAATATTTTTAAATAAATGAAGTTTTATTATTTTTTTTTATTTTTTAGACAATTGGGGTTAAGTGACTTATTCAGGTTCACACAAGTTTTATTATTTTTAATATGCTATAATTCAGAGTAGGCAAACCAAAAGGTAATGTCAACTAGGAAGTTTTTTGGGACCTACTACAATGAATAGGAAATATTGATTTGTTGTCTGGACATTAATAAAGTAAGCAAAATAAGTTAATTTTCTCAAATAGGCAAAACAATTCCCTTCTCCAAGTTGCAAATTCTTCTTTACTTGTTAGTCTTTCCCCACAAATAATGAAAAGACTAATTTGCTAGGCTTCTGAATACCATAAATTCTGAATTAATGTGTTCAAATTAGGGAGATTTTTACACTGTTGATTGATTTTTATGTCCAAGAATATGTAATAACCAGAATTCCCCATTGCCCCACTCCCACCAAATTTTCCTAGGATCTTAGATTTAATACTTCAAGGGAATTTGGAAATCATTCGAATGCTAGTTCCTTATTTTACAGATAGGGAACCTGACGCCCAGAGAGATGAAGTGCTTTTCCCAAGGTTGTGCAGGAGATAGAGCACTAGGCTTGGAATCAGGAAGACTCATCTTCATGAATTCAAATCTGGCCTCAGACACTTAGTAGCTGGGTGACCCTGGGCAAGTCACTTCACCCTGTTTGCCTCAGTTCCTCATCTGTAAAATGAGCTGGAGAAGAAAATGGCAAACCACTCTAGTATCTTTGCTGAGAAAACGCTTACTGGCATCAGAGAATCGGACACAATTGGAAAAAAAAATAGGATTTGAACCCATGACCTCAAAGCTGGTATGCTTTCCACTATACCATGCCACCTTTTCATCCAATTAACAGGTTTTAATTTCTGGTATTATTTTAAGCCTTTGATTCCTAACCCTCTGCTTTCCCTTGAGTTCTGGGTTTACCATTGATCTTATTTTTTTTTTTTTTTTGATGCTGAGGATTTTTTTAAAACATTCATTTTTAAAATTTCGAGTTCCAAATTCTCTCCCTTCCTCCAGCTCCTGCCCCACCCATTGAGAAGGCCATTATACGTGTGAAGTCATGCAAAGCATATTTCCATATTATTAGCTACCATTAGTATTATTATTTTTAGTATTAAATTAGTATTAAATTCCACTAATGTGATGATGACAGTCATTATCAATTTTTTTAACCTTCACAATTCTACTTAGGCAATTAATAAATGTTTGTGGAAATTCACCTCCCCTGCTGGTCTTGTCGGAACAAATTTGAGGCTTAATCTAAGCTTCCTGAAGATATTAAATTTCTAAAAGACATAGAGCAAGAAGTTTTTTGGGCAAGAAGTTCAAGTACATTTAAGACTTCCCCAAATACTTCTCTTCCCCGACAATTTATCTGCTTTTTTTGACTGTTTTTTTTATGACAGTACCATTATCTGGGGTACCTTTCTCATCTTTCCCACATCTGGGATTTCTGTCTAAAAATGCCATCTCCTGGAGAACTTGGCTCTGTCAGCTTAAGCACTCATCTCTAAAATATTGACAATATTAGCTTCCTTGACTTCACTTTGCTATGTTCATTTTAATCTTCTATCAAATGAGATACTATATAGCACTTAATATAGTGCCTAACACACAGTGGGCACTTAATAAATGCTTATTCTCTTTTCTTATTAAAGAGACAAAGTGGACCTGTCACACTACTCTTCCCTTCCACATCTCATCTCTCATTTCTCCCTCTGAAGCTGGGATAAGAGGATGACAGACTTTGAGATACAAAGGGAAGGCCTAAGAGAATGGTCTAGCCCCACTCATTCAGATGTATATCCTTTATTGACCTAATCTCCTACCAATGGAGGAGTTACTACTACTTGCCAAGTCACAGCACTGCCCTTTCCATTATTCAGGTATGTCTACCAAGAAACCACTGTCTGTCAAAGGAGAACAGACAGGAGCAGGAGCCAGCCTCCATGGCCTAAAGAATTGGATGCAGGTGATGCACGTACCTTTTAGCTCATCATCTCTCTCAGGTATGTCAGGTGAAACAAATTCATCTGTTGTAAAGGTGAGATCCTCCTGAAACGTTTCGACATGCTGTCCATTAATATAGATATCAATCTGGAAAAAAAAAGTTTAAAATTTTAAAATACATTACAAAAAAGTTTCTATGAAAGTGAAGGAAAAAACTCAGGAAAGTCACCTATTTATTCAGAAATTGACTACTAAGCTATTTAAACTGTTTGCTTGTTTTTTTAATCTACCTTTTTTGTTTATCAAGATAAGCAGTAGATTATCATGCAGCCCCATGGGTGCTACTGCCTCGTGACTCCTCCAGGTGCAAGGAGCCACAGCAGGCTTCATATTATGGCTCCCTATAATTCCTGCACAAGACCTCCTCTCTCAAGAAGGGGTTTTCATTGCTTCCTGACTGACGGCAGTATGTAGCAATGAAACCAACACGGAACAGAAATGCTGACTGGGCTTGGGAAGGAATAACAAGCCAGCCTGTGAGCCACACACCAGAACTAAGGACCCTTTGTTCCTTGTGGATTCATGTGTTATGTCTGCCTCAAAGGTGCAAGTCTGCCTAGAAAAGCAATTGTGGCCTCCTTTGTTTTCCTTCCAAGAACTCAGACTCATCTCCATCACAGCCACCTTGCAATGCCAGGTCTTCACCAAAGACCCTTGCCAGGGTCAACTTCTTGTCTGCAGAAGAGGAAGGTAAATCTATCCTATGCTCCTCCAAAGAGACAACTGTCGATTTCCTGGACAAGAGGAAGGGAATTGTATTGCTAAGGGTTTAAAAGAGGCTAGGGCACTTTCATTTGGGTTGCATAACTGTACCTGTTCTTTTGGATTGCTTTGCATTTACAGGTTTGCCTTATCATAAATTTTTATTATTATTTTTTATTTTCCAAGCACATATCAACTTAACGTAGGAGGAGGTGACCCAGGAGAGTGCTGGGTGACAATGATAATAATAATTAGGATTTATATAGTCCTTTACAATTTGCAAATTTTAAAATATACACACATATATGGAGAGGTTTGTATATTATATATATATATATATGAACATTCATATACATATATATGTATGTTCATATATAATCATCACAAAAACCCTACTATTATCCTCATTTTACAGATGAGGAAGTTGAGGCAGGCACTGGTTAAGGGACTTTCCCAGTGTCACGCATCTTGTAAATGTCTGAAACGGGATTTGAACTCAAGTCTTCCTGATTCCAAATCTAGCACTCTATCCACTATACCACCTAGCTGACAAGAAGTGTCTAGTGAGTAATTTAACATCGCTATGTAAACAAGATACAAATGACCTATATCAGGCACAAACTTGAGGGCAAGGACCATTGCTTTTTCATCCTTTTTTTTTTTTTTTTTGGTTTCAGTTTGTTTTTGCTAGGCAATGGGGTTAAGTGACTTGCCCAGGGTCACACAGCTAGTAAGTGTCAAGTGTTTGAGGCCAGATATGAACTCAGGTCTTCCTCACTCCAGGGCCAGTCCTCTATTCACTACGCCACCAAGCTGCCCCCATGCTTTTTCATTCTTATTCTTCATAAAACCCTACTCTGATGCTTCACTCTGCCATGGAAGTGAGCCTACGTTCTCCAAGGCTATGTTGGTGGTGCACAAGCAGTAGGTTCCATCATGAGAGACAGGTCCTGCAGAGAGGCTGAATCTGCTATCTGAGGACCAACCTACCTAAGGATGGAGGAACTCCTCATAAGAACTCTGACCCAAATGAATATTTTGGCCATGACAATCCCATGATGCATTCAACAATGAATACTCTTTGAATGGAACATAATCTCATCAAGCATACTTTGGCAGGAGGGATTAAGTACAGATGTTTAGAAGGACTTCCTGCCTGTCCAAGTTGGGAGGGACTGGAATTTGGAGACTGAGGAAGGAGGCTAGGCAGTATCTGAGATTTGCTAAGGGAACTGTCGACTATGTCATTAGAGGCTCATTTAGAACAGGAGTTCTTAATCTTTCAGTGTCTATATCTATGGACCCCTTAGAATAATATTTTAAATGTATAAAATAGGATTACAAAGGAAACCAATTATATTAAAATACAGTTAGCAAAAATATATAAATATATGTATATGAATGTGTATATATATATATATATCTATATATATAGAAATATATATGTGAAATTCATAGACTCCAGGTTAAGAACTCCTGAGTTATTGGGACTAGATATGTTTCACCTGAAGGTAGACATTGCTATCTGGCCAAGTATTTAAAGGACTTTCCTAAAAGGGAGGAAGGATTAGGCATGTTCTACTTAGTACCAGGGGACAAAACAAGGATCTATAAGTATAAACTGCACCAAGGTAGTTCTATGTCATGAAAAAAAAAATCCTACTAATCAGGGATGTCCAAAAGCGAACTGGGCTGCCTTGGGAGGTTGGGAGGTCTTGAAGTAGAAGCTCAAAGGCCACTTATAGCAGGGATGTTTTAAAAGGGGTGCTTATTCAAGTGGGCATTGGTCCATGTGATTTCAGAAATTGCTTCTAACCGAGATTCTTTACTTCTATAATCTGTGATATGGGATTAATGAAATTAGGGTGGCCTTCCACTCATTCTAAATCCTTTTCTACTACAAAAAGTTTATCTGATATCAGCCAGTAGGAGTTATTATAGGAGATCTGCATGAGAAACAAATGTTTCAACATTTGCTGAATCATCATTTGTAGAAAACAAAAGTTCTTTTCTTTGGAAAACAGAACAAAATACGCCAGGATTAGCGAGGAAGTGCTTGACTATGGGAAAGACTATGAATTATAAACCACTAGAAGACATGGGATCCTGGGATCATTGGTTCGGAGCTGAAAGAGACCTTGGAGATCAGTTAATCCAAATGCTTATCATTTGGGCTTCTAAGGAACTGCCCTGAGTAGCAGGAGAAACATTTACTCTTATTTTAAGACCGTTGTTTTCATACTGTTAAGATTTATCATTCAGGTATTAAAACAGTCATTCAATTCAATTAAAAGTTCAAAAAGCATGAGGTTAAGGTAGCTTGGATTTGGTAGTGGAGAAGGTGGCTCAGATGTGTGGGGTGATAAGAAGACAGCCTATAATTTAACACTTTTGTGGGTAACCCTTAATATACAGATCATTAGGAGCTAACTATATTGGGCACAAATCAGACTGGAAGGTCCTTGGAGGTACAAGCCATATCTTATAATAATAGCTAACGTTTATATAATGCTTACTATGTGTCAGGCACTTTACAATGATTATATCATTTGATATTCACAACCCTGGGAGGCAGGTGCTATTATTATCCCCATTTTACAGAAGAAAAAGCTCAGGCAAAACAGGTTAAGTGACGTGCCCAGGATCACAAAGCCAGTGAGTGTCTGAAGGTGGATTTGAATTCAGGTCTTCCTGACTCCAGGCCTGCCACTCCTCCCAGTGTGCCACCTTTCTACCCTACGTGCATTATTTTCTACCAAGCACTACGCTGCTGCCCTACTGTGCTATCTAGGTGACCGTGGCATCTTTAAGGCTATATGCCTGAAGAGCATCAGCTTTGGCAGATTTTGGCATCTGTCCTGAAGGAAGATCGCCATCAGAAAGAGGATCAGAGAACAGCAGAGGATAGCAACAGTGGCCAGGCTGAAGGGGCCCAGTATACCTGTTTATTGGTTTATACTGTTTTCAGAACATCATCCTCTCTTGAAATATAGTAGAGGGCTGCCATGGAATCAGGTGGGCTACCTATGGTGCTTTCACAGCACTGGAGCACTACCAGTAAAATAACAATGTAGAGTGGACAAAGGGGAACAGAGTAGAACACTGATGGGGAGGAGCCAACCTGGGCTTCTCCACTTGCTAGGGCCCCACCCAGGGAAATAGTCTAAATCAAAGAGACTTTATGGACTCCAGGGAAGGGAAGTTTTCTGAGTGATCTCCTGATAAGTGAGAGGCCTTCATAATGTGAGTGGTCTCCTGATAAGTGAGTGTCCTTCATAATGTAAAATAAAACTGACCTATATTTTGGGCCCTGTGGGATTTGTAGCTATCCTTCAGGAAGCGTCAGATACTGAAGTTCCTAGATTATAATCGGGTAGGAGTGATGAGACAGAGAAGTGATGGGACCTCAAAGTGTACCCAGGCCTTTATGTCTCTGGGGAGTCTAATTTATAATAAAAAGATGAAAAGTATAGGCCACTTATGTTCTCTCATGATTTCATTTGTGCAAATCTTTGCTTCCCAAGATGGTGAGCTCCTTGAAAGATGGAACTCTGCTCCACACCTTCTTTGAAGGGAATTTGGTATAGCTAAAAGATCACTGGACATAAAAGGAAGAAAAGGCCTGGGCTCAAATTTGACCTTCAACACTTAACTCTAGTTGCTCTGTTACTGACAAATCACTTAACTCTTCTGAGCCTCAACCTCCTTGTCTGTTAAAAGGGCATATAGTACTATATATACTTGCATCACAGAGCTATTGTAAGGATCAAATATGTCTAAGGTATTTTGTAAACATGAAAGTTCTACACAAATGCTGTTTGTGCTGCAGGGAATATGATAATAAAAACTATTTTATTATCGTATTCCCCGTAGCACAAGTAAAATTTTTTGTGCTTGTTAAGTGTATAAGAAACACTTAAAAAATGGATTACCCCAAAAGAAGTTAGAATATAGGTGCTTTTTGTTGCATTAATTCCTAGGTCACTGAAAACATGAGTAGAGCCCCTTAGCATCTGCGGGATATTTGATTTCAAGGGAGGATGATGCAATGAAAATAATACTACCAGTCAAAAGTATTAAGCACCTGTCGTGTACAGAACAGAAACTGCTAGTGATGGTACTAACATAGGTTGAGTTTTAGTGGCACTTACAGCTGAAACATGGCACAGGCAGCACATTCTCTAATTAAACTTAGAAGTTAAATAGTAAAATCTTGAGAAATTAAACAAAATTGAAAAATAGGTTCTACTACATAAGGAACATCCAAGTGAAAGTGTGTGTGTGTGTTGTGTGTGTTTAATCAAATTAGGCTGTGCATATGAAAGCACTTTGAAAAATGTCTGTGAAATCTCTAAAAATGGCAAAATGTTATACACGTTTAGGGTTGTTGTATTATTGTTGATTTTGCCACTTCAGATGAAAAATGCAAACGCCTAATAAAATCTCCCTGATTGTGGGAGCTGCAGAGACATTTTAGTACTGAGAATACTCCAAAAAAGCCCAAGAAGACACTGGTTCCTAGTTTAAAAAAAAAAAAAGGATCTAACACTATATTTGAACAGAAATCTCTGTATTAGCCTCTAAGATTTTAAAAAGAAAAGTCACTCGTGTGAGATTTTGTGGGCTATGTCTGGTAAATTCACTTGATCTCTTGGTCCTAAATTTATCTTATGGGCCCAGAAGTGAACAGAATTAAAAACAAGAAGCTGGATTGACTTTGGGGAATTGCAAAGTTCTTTTAATGAGACCAAACTCCTTTCTGAAACAAAAGTTCCTCTTAATCCCAATATCTTTCAGGTGATGTGGTAAGACATCATGCCAGTCACTGAAGAATTCAAATTGTGGATCACCCAAAGGGCAGAGGATCAAGTGCATGGAGGGCGCCAGCAGGCTGCAATGCTTCTCCAACAAAGAATTATGCAAGATGAAAGAGGAATTACGTAAGAAAAGTAGAAGAAAGCTAGCCCGCTCCCTATTATTCCTATGCTAGGCTAGGGACTAGACCTGAGACTTCATTGGGAAAGGAACTTCCAGGTGAGGAAACTCCTTCTAATGAAGCAGGTAGGTACCATCTTAGCAATTCGGAATCTCAGGGGCAGTTGGGGCAGTTAGGGAGTGCAATGGATAAAGCGCTGGGCCTGCAGACCCTAAGTTCAAATCCACCCTCAGACACCTACTAGGTATGTGATCCCAGGCAAGTCACTGAACCTCTGTTTGCCTCAGTTTCTTCATCTGTGAAATGAGGATAATAAGAGCACCTACCTCCCAGGGTGGTTGTGAGTATTAATGAGATAATAATTGTAAAGCACTTAGCACAGTGCCTGGCACATAGAAAGCATTATATAAATGTTAGCTATTATTATTATTAAATGAGAATTATTATAAAGCACTTAGCATAGTAACTGGCACCTAATAAGCACCATGTAAGTGTTAGCTATCATTATTATTACTATTAAAGTGCTCACACAGTGCCTGACATACAGTGAATGCTTTGTAAATGTTAGCTATTATGATGATGATGATTGTTATTATTATGGAGTTGCCTAGAGATGTTTCTCAAAGTCTGATCTGAGGACCTCTTGGGGGTCCCTGAGACCCTTTCAGGGAATCTGAGAGGTCAAAACTATTTTCATAATAATACTAAGTCACTTTAAATTTTTGATATTGATAGATATATTATTGAGAGATATTATTGTTTGTCCTTTGTCTCAAAGAGGACCAATGACATCAGGAAGATGATGTCTTGACTTGCAAGTGAATTGGATTTAAGTGAGGCAGGGCTGTGCGAAGTCACCAGAGTCTCTCCTCCAGAGTCATCTGGGTCCAGTGGCAAGACAGATCAGGATGACTGGAGATGGTCCAAGAGATATATTCTAAATATTGATAGATATAACCCACATAAACAAAAGCTCTTAGAGTAGGGCCTTCATAATTTTTAAGATTTTACAGTCTTACAATTTACAACCCCTTTACAAGGGTCCTGAAGTAAAAGTTTGAAAACCTTTGGCCTACAGTACTGAAAAGTGAAGCAGCTTGCCCAGGGTTACACAGATAGTTGGAAGCCCAGGTATTTTGGGCTTTGGGGCTAGTACTCTAGGATGTCCCTCTACTCCATGTTGGCTCTCAATTATTTGCCGATTCCAATTATTTGCATTTGACTCAAAAAACATCTTTGGGCCTTGATCCCGGGTAGACTGATTAGAATTGAATGTTAATCAAATAAAATGCTCGATTCTAATGATATTTAGACTTTTGCTGTTTAGCAACAAAAAGACAACAATTATTTAGTTTATTTCTCTAGGGGGCTGCTAAAAGTCTCCAGTGGATTAGATGCCTCAAAACTTACTTACATCTGTGGAAAACAAACCTAGAATTCATATCATTATCTGAAAGACTGTAGTCTTGTTTCTTCCCTGTTGTTTCTGATCCCTCATTGACTACCCATCATGAGAGCTAATTCCATTAGGCAGAGCCCTGACTATCACTGGGAGATGCCAGCTTGGTGGAGGAGGCTGCATTTCCTTCTTAAAGGGAAAAATACTCCATGGTAGGTCCTACTCCCTCTCTGAGGAACTCATGTACCTTTTCTCAAAGTGCTTTGCTTGCCTAGGCCATCCGCCCAACAATCGCCCCTAGGCTTCCTCCCCTAGAGTTTGGTCAGTCACAGGAGCACCACCTTGTTCTCAAATCTCATGGAGGTGCGGGCTGGAGTCTTTCAGGGAGAGGCTGTCCCTTCTCAGGAGAGGGGACTGCTCTCTGTACTACTATTGCCTCTTCCCACTCCCCAAGGACACTGTTTTCTATACCACCACATCTACACTTCCACCATGATGTTATGTCAGTGGCATGGGTGAGCAGTCACACATACATACTGACATACACACAATCTGCTCAACTGCTTTTCCCCAGGTAAAAAACTCCTAGTTATAGTTCTAAATAAGGGATTGTCCCCTAGTATCCTTAGCTAGTTCAGGAAGTCACCAATTTATTTATTTAGAATATATGCCTGTTCTGCTTTTGTAAAGACTCAAGACTCTTACAGATTAACTCACAAATTAGAGAAGTATAATAATGTATTTAAATATAAGCCGAATAAAGTCAATCTAAAGGGTACAAATGGCAGACAAATGTGCTCAGGCACTGGGAGTCTCCCTTGCCTTCTCTCAAATGAGTTAATATATCTAAAGGGCTTTGCAAACTAAAATTCTACATAAATGTCAGTCATTATTATTATTGCTACTAGCACCCTGTTTCCAAAAAGGAAAAATAGAGTTCCACATTATATGTGTAATTATAAGATATGTAATTACATGTTCAATACCCATAGTAACATTCCTGTCAGTCAATCAAAACTCCAAAGGAAAGAACAGATCAATGAATCCAGAAATCAGTGGATACTGGGGAAGGACCCTAAAAAGATTCAAAGCTCTTTACTTGAAATTTGCTTATCTGAAGGCTTTTTTGTTGTTGTTATTGTTCAGTTGTGTCTGTGACCCCATTTGGTGTTTTCTTGGCAAAGACACTGGATTGGCTTAGCCGTTTCCTTCTCTAGCTCATTTTACAGATGAGGAAACCGAGGCAAATAGGGTTGAGTGACTTGGTCAGGGTCACACAACTAGTAAGTGTCTGAGGTTGGATTTGGAGTCATGAAGATGAGTTCCTGATTCCCAGCCCAGTGCTCTATCCACTGCACCACCTTGCTGCCCCTAAAGTGAAAGCTCTAGATAAGTAATCACAAAAGCCTCACTATGTATTACCTACAGGTATGCAAGGATCTTAAAGCAAGGACTGACCCTGGCAAGGTCAGTAAAGTCTCTGTTATCTGTGCAGGGGCACAGGTCAGGTTAGGGAAGATTTAATCCATTTACTTGCCATTTTTCAACGCTTTATGCCCCCTTCTGTGCTTTCAACCTAAACAAACTTTTGATTGGTGGGTAAAATTGATAGAGCCTCAAATTTTTATTAGCAAATAAGCTTGGAAGAGGAGCAACTTGCCAATTACAATTTTATTTCTGTCTCCATAAACATGACAAGTAGCTTCTAATTCTTTCATTATTTTTCAAGCATGTCTCTAGCATCACTATTTTCAGTACACTTTTATTTTTGACACGTTTGGCATTTCTCATAGTTGTCAAAACTCTCCTATCTAAGTAAAATTTGGGGCAAGAATTTATTTTTCTCATTTGGGTCTATTATTAGAAGTATATTTTATTTCATATATTTTTGATTGTTTTATATATTTAATGACGCTTTTTTCAAACTGTGTTGGCACTGAAGTCAATGATCTGGCTATTAGAGAGAAGATGTATGGTTGACCTTTATCTTTATCTGATTGAGCTCCTAAAAATGAATATTTGAAAGGTCAACAAATACAATTACAAACACCCGAAAATAAGTTCCAGCGGTAAATAGGACACAGGTCCTTCCATCCTGACAGGGACATACTATAGGCAGTTTTGCTTCATGAGTGTTAACATTCACCTAACCAGAATACCCTATTCCCTAATTATACACCTTTCTTGGAATTGGAGGAGATACAAAATTAAGATGTCATTTCTCTGACTAGGGTTTTACTATACTTACTAGAACTAATAACAAAATCCACTCTGATGGATGCTTACCCAAATTAAATTTTCAAAAATGTTATCTACATCACAACAGAACTGAAAAATCTCATGGTTTTATTTCCTCTGTCTTTACTTTAATCAGCAACATTTCCAATATAAAACAATCTCCAACTGGCCATTAGGCCAATGGAATTAGTAAGTTTAGAAATATCTCTTACCTTGACATTTCTTTGGGGATACAGGAAAAAAAATGGTTTCAGAACTGTAGATCTGGAGATATAAAGAAAGAAGGATAATTAGGGTTATCCGAACAAATTATGAAGACTAGGGAAAAGGGGGTGAGAGTTACATACTATGTCTATGCACTTCCTGATTATGCCATAGTTTACCTCCACTTCTTAGATACTAATATGTTTCCTTCCTCATCTCCCTTTTTGCTTATCTGAAGGGGAAAACATGATAATTATTCTATTAAAAGTGTGTTGTCATAAAAATACTGCTGATTAACTACAATTAGCTATGAAGCTTCATTTTTTTTCTAGTTGTGATTGTGTATTTTAATTAATTCATAAACACTTTTTCACCCAGCCTCCCTCATGACCAACGGCCTTCATCTATGAGAATGCTGAATGATGCCGAGGTGTTGTTTGTGGTTCCGGAACAGGGCAAAGTTAACTCACCTTGGTGGAGATCCAACCTTTGATCTCAACCACAAGTACAAAGGAACAGACAAAAGTATACACATCCAAAATGGAGATGTACAAATATGAGTGGGGATAGGTAATATAGAAATAAACGGATAATCAAAGATACAGACACATATGCGCTAGATTAGCTGGTGGGATGGGATGAACATGTGGCAGAAATTAGATAGAGAAGAATGGAATGATTAGCAAATATTATGAGATATGGGGCTAATTTTCTTTTCAGAAAGATCTGAATTTTCTTAGATGCATTTAAAAGCATTAAAGGCTTGTTCTCCCCCACTACATGACTACCCAAGTTAATCCAATAAGCATTATTAACCACCTGCTACATGTAAGGTACTATGCTAAGTTCTGGGTATGAAGACAAAACTGATAGGATGGGGGCAGAAACGGGCTTCAGAGGTCCTCTAGTCCAACCTCCTTATTTTATAGATGAAGAAATGGAGACCTAAACAGGTGAAGTGGCTTACCCAGGGTTACATAGGTAGTAAGCATCAGAGGAGGGATCTGAACCCAGGGGCTCTTACTTCAGAGCAGTGTTTTTGCCATTGTGCCACAAATAGGTAGTAATGTTCATAACTGAAAATTGGCAGGAGAGGTGAAGACATGAGGAAGAGGCCTTTCAAACTTGGCAAATGCACTAATGAGAGTGCAGCCCCTGAAAAATGAGATGCAGAAAGCTGGAGAAGATGAAATGAGGACCTTCCTCACCCAGGGAAAACCATCCACGTAGGATACAGCTTGTCTTCTAGGGTCCAATTAGAGGATGTAGTTGGGGGGACATTGGGGACTTTTAGTAATCTCTTTTCATAGAGGAATTCTAACATCTTTTGTGTTTTCTGTTGCTACATAGACAGACACTAGAAGTCTAATAATTTCTCTGTAGTAACATTAAATTACATTTAGTTTACTCAGCATCAAGGGCCAAAGAGGGTTTTTTTGAATTACCATAAATCATCAAAGCCATAAATCACTGAGAGTCAGCATGGAGTTGAAGTCACAGGTCCAGTACCTATCCCATTGACCTTATTCATTATCTAAATTTTCTTTGACCTATTTGCTCCATTATTTGAGTTCTTAAGTGAAAACTTATAGTTTGCTCTATGTAGGATTTCGAAAGAAATTTTTTGTTCATAAGTGAATCCTTCACTCTAAAAAAACAACGGTGGTCTTAAAATTATATACAGGCCTATAGTAATTATAACATTTGTTTTTATCAACAAGGTTCCATTCACTTTTGCCTGGGTTTGCTGGAGAAACCAGAAAACAGGCTTTTTGGCTTCCCCATTTCAAAATCTGAATGCTTGGGAGAACTTCAGATTTCTCAAAGAACTACGTATCAAGCCCCTGCAGAAACAAGAAGGGTAGAGACTAGTGCACATGAGAGAGAAATCCCTGGGATTAGTGGAGGATGCTGTGATAGGGGAGCAAGGGAATTGTCAGATAGAGCACAGAGCTGGTAATTGTCAGGGCTGAGATTCCAACCCAGGTTTCTGATTAGTGCTCTCTCCCCTAAACTCTGTTGCTTTTCAAGATGAGGAAGCTGAATTGGATAATCTCCAAGGGCCCTTCTGAGCTCTAACATTCTATGATCTTGTTTCAGCTTCTTCCCACAAACAGAAAGAACTAAAGAGAGATTCTTACTGCAATAGGGAGCCAAGCCAAGCGGAACACCCCTTTAGGAGTAAAGTACTCGTTTAGATGAAGCGATTAACTTTCTGTATTTCTGTCATGTGACACTCTACAGCAGCCATTTAATTTTCAAGTATATCACCTTTCCTGGGGTAAAGTCTCATAGACAGAGGGTGAATTACTTCTGAACTTTATCATGCTCTTTCTTAGAAAAAGCCATTGCCTTATATAGAAAAGGACTTTACACCGTAGAGAAAATTCATCCAATACAGTTGCTCCCAAGAGCATATTCTCTAGATAAGGGAATCTTACGGCCTGTGTGTCAAAGCAAAGCTCCCAGATGAATTTCAGGGACAGGAATGTACAGAATGAGACCTTGGTAACTCTGTTCCCTCCATTCTTCTTTTATCCTTAGCCAGGAAACAATGTCACAATGAACCTTTTTTTTAAGCGTAATTTAATTGACCAACTAATCTCCAATAAACTTACACTTTTGGACGACCTCCAACAACTCCAGTCAGGCCAGGTGCTAAGAAAACAAAGAAAAGAATATTAATTTTAAGTAGTTTCTCCTTTACAAAGCCACTTTGAAATAGTTTTATAAATCATTCTAACCTCAACACTTCTTGTAGTAATGAGGTTTTCTTAGTCTTCTGACTAGGGAATCATAGCAATTGATCAATTTTCTAACACAAGATATTAACATTACCTCAGAAAATATTAAGGGACAGCTAGGTGGTACAGTGGATAGAGCTCCAGCCTTCGAGCCAGGAGGACCTGAGTTCAAATCTTATTTCAGACACATAACACACACTAGCTGTGTGACCATGGGCAAGTCACTTAACCCTGTTGCCTGATTAAAAAAAAAAAGAAAGAAAATATGAAAATATTTTGGTGGGTCTGTGGTCTCATTAATGTAGAAGTTCCTTCCAGTGACACAGGTGACAAGTCTTTGATTCCTATTTATCCTGGGCAACCCTCATCAATGCCACCCAATAAGTTTGCCACAGAATGTCCACCTGATGTGCTGAGGGTTTTCCTCTTTCTCTCTCTTTATACCTCAAGGACACTAGCAGTACAGGATGTCCTCCCATCGATTGTCCCTGGCTTTTCGCCAGTCTTTTATTTCAATCAGACATTTTCTTCACGACATCTTTTACTTTGGTTATTCTTCAAAGTTACTTATTTGCTATATGTTTCAGCCTTTATAGCACCCACCATGTGCTTCTCTGTTGCCTTCTCTAAGATATTAATTCTTAATTCTTCAGACACCGCAGTACTCTATGACTTGCAGTCATACAACAGTGCCTGTTAAATCCCTCTCAGATATTCATTCATTCTACCATCACTTATGAAACAGAATCCACAAAAAGAAGAATTATTTGAAGCTATGTACTATGGTCTATGCTACTATGTTATTGGAACTAAGAAAACTGAAGGGGGCAGGATGGCTAACAATTTTTATCACATTTCTTACGTTAATTCTAAATAATAACTTTATCTGAAATATCAATGTTTGCTTGCTTCTCGCTGATGTAATGATCTCATTGATATCCATGCATGCATGATTCCAGGATCTAGGTACTAATGTGGCTACTCCAAACAACTGTGCTGATTGCAACACATATAGCCCTTCTCATCTTCTGTGATTCTAATCCATGTCCTCCCAGAAATTCTTCATCAGATATCCACGTAGGGCTTTTAACAAATGAGCTGGGGACAATACTGAGGAGGAGAAAGACAGAAGCCTGAACTGGAAACTGTGAGATGGTTTCAATAATCCTCAGCACCTCCCCAAACAGAAGCTGCCATCTTTTTCACATCAATTTTATGCTAGAGAGACTATATGGCTACAAAGATGGAACTCTAAGCAAAATTATTAGTAACTGAACTAAAAGACTAACTTATAAATAGGCCACAGCATATTTCTAATGACTTGAAAGCAAACTATCATAAGAGATATTGGGTAGGAAATACATGATTGGAAAAGTTATATCTTTGATATGATATATCATAATCAATGATCAGTGAAATCACTGAATGATCAATGAAATAGGAAAAAGGTCCTTTATGTACAAAAATATTTATAGCCGTTCTTTTTTGGTAGCAAAACACTAAAAATTAAGGAGCTGTCTCAACTGAAGAACAGGTGAATAAGATGTGGTATATGAATGTAACAAAGTATTATTGTGCTGTAAGAAATGAGGAAATAGATGATTTCAAAAAGACATGGAAAGATTTCTATGAAGTGATACAGAGTGAAATAAGCAGAACCAGAACAGTTTTATACTATAAACTGCAATATTACAAAAGTAAACTTTTTTTTAAAAGTAAACCATTTTTGAAGATGATGAGGAATGAAATGAGCGGAACCAGGAAAACAATGTAAACAACAGCAACACTGTAAAAACAAACAACTTTGAAAGCTGTAAAAACTATGATCGATATCAATGACCAATTACAATTCCAGAGGACTGATGATTAAAAATATTATCTATGACCGAGAGCTGATGGATTCAGGGTACAAAAAGGGATATATGTGTGTGTGTGTTTCTTTTCTTTTTCCAAGGGGGAGGGAAGATAGGAGGGAGAGAAAATAGATTTATTAAAAAAAATTTTTTTATAGAGCACCAGCCCTATTTGCTAATGAAACGATTACTTAGAAAATCCTAGGGGATCTGTAATGATAGTCATTGAGACAATTAATAGTTTCAGCAAAGTTTTAGACTTTATCAAAGAAAGAGCCCATACATATAAAAATATTCATGGCATCTTTGTTCATAGTATCCCCACACTGGAAAATACTTTAGTGCTCCTCTCTCGGGGAATGGTTAAACCAACAGTAGCATATGAATGTAATAGAATAATATTGTGTGATAAGGAATAATAAAGTGAACCGTTTCAGAAGAAATTGGGAAAATAACTATGATCTGATGCAGAATGAAATGAGAAGAACTAGAAGAATAATTTACATAAGGACAACAACATTGTAGAAAAAAATACTTTGAAAAACTTTAGAACTCTGCTTAATGTAATCATAAACAATGAGTCTAGAGAACTGAAAATGAATCATGTTACCCACATCCTGCCAGGGAAGTGATGAACTTAAAATCCAGAATGAGACATGTATTTTTGGAAAAAACCAATATGGGAATGTTTTGCAGGGCTATGCATTATTGTTCTGAGAGATCTGTTTTTCTATGGGTTTTTAATTTTCTAATTCAGGTGAAATGGGAGGGATAAAAATAAAGTTACAGGCTACAAAATGAACTCTTCCAAAATCAGCAGGATTTTTGGATATAAATAACAAAACCCAGGAAGCAGTAATAAAATAACAAATTCCATTCCAAATAATTACAAGGTGCATAAAATATTTGGGAATCAATCTACCAAAGCATACTCAATACTTGTATAGACTCAATTACTAAGTGTTCTTTGAAGAAATAAAGAATAACTTAAATAGCTGGAGGAATATTCACTGTCATGGCTGAGCCGTGCCTATGTAATAAAAATGTCAATATTACCAAAATTTATTCATGATGTTAGTGCTGTATTAATCAAAGTATCCAAAGAGATACTTATAGAACTCTATAAAGTAATAGTAAAATTCATTGGAGGAACAAAAGATCTAGAATATAATGGGAAGCAATAACTTTTAAAAGCTAGGAATGGAGGGCAGTTTGGTGGCACAGCGTGGATAGAGCACTGGCACTGGAGTCAGGAGGACCTGAGTTCAAATCCAGCCTCAGACACTTGACACTTACTAGCTGTGTGACCCTGGGCAAGTCACTTGACCCTATTGCCTATCCCCCCCCCCCCAAAATTATAGCCACTGTGAGCACTTTCACTTGGGGGGGGGTGCCTGGAGCTGGGGACACATAAAAGTTAGGAATGAAAGAGGAATAGCGATTCCAAACCTCAGACAATATAATATTGGTATTGGTTAAATTTGGTATTGGTTAAAAAATAATGAAGCATATCAATGGAATATATTAGGCAAAGGAGAATCAGAATAATGGAACTCAATAACCCAATTATCTAGATAAACCTGAAAACATTAATTTCTTAGGAAAGAATTCTCTATTTGATAAGAACTTTTGGGAAAAATGGAAGATGTACTGGCAGAAATTAGGCTTAAACTAATGTCTTACATAATATTCCATAAAAAACTCAAAATGGACAAATAACCTGAATATTAAAGATCACACCATATTAGAAGAGAAGCATATAATATTCCTTTCATGGTTACAGTTAGGAGGCATATTCTTTTTTAATTATTTTTTTTTCTAACAAAGATCTACCTTCTCTCTCTCATATTTCTCTCCCTCCCCAATGGAGAAAGCAAGAAAAACGAAAGATGAGGTATATTCTTAAGGAAGCAAGGCATAGGAGTGATCACAAAAGATAAATGAGATAATTTTGGTTACATGAAAAGGAAAATGCTCTGCACAAGCAAAATTAATGCATTTAGAATAAGAAGAGGACTAAAAATTTTTTGTCACTAAAAAAATCTGTGTGTGTATGTGTGTGTGTGTGTGTGTGTGTGTGTTTGTATCAAATTTCTCAGTTCAGAGTCTGGTATCAAATATATATAGACATCTAACAGAAATATATCAGACCAAAAGCCATTTTCCAAATGATAACTGGTCAAAGGATACAAACAAACAGTTCTCACAAGGTGAATGATAAAATGTTAACAACCATATGAAAAAATGCCCCAAATCACTAATAATAAAACAACCCTGAAGCTTCACCTCCTACCCAGCAAATTGCAAAGATGACAAGAGCATAAGATAGTAAATGTTAAAAGATGTGTAGAAATTTAAGCACACTAAAAAGAGAATCATAACAATGGTTGGTAGAGGTGTTAATTAGTATAATCATTTTGGAAAGCCATTTGGAATTATACAAATAAAATGATTAAAATGTCCATACTTTTTGATCCAGAGATTCCACTAGGCATATGCCCAAAGATGTTATTGATTAGAAGAAAGTTCCAATAGATAACAAAATATTTATAGAAGCAAAGAACTGGAAACAAAGTAAATGCCCATCATCTGGGGAATGGCTACCAGGGGTAGGGAACCTGAGGCCTCGAGGCCACATGTGGCCCTCCAGTTCCTCAAGTGTGGCCTTTTGACTGAGTCCAAGTTTTATTAAAGTAAATGGAAGAACAACCTCCATGAAACAATCAAAAGTGAATGTTGCAAAATTACAAATACTAAGCATGACCCCAATGAGGAAATGAGGAGATACTCCTCTCTCCACACCCCCCCCCACAGAGGTTTGAAAATACATTGCATGTATTTTCAGATTTTTGCAGTTATATTACTTGTTTTGCTAATCATTTTTCCTCTTTTCTTCTAAAGATACTCTTTATTTTATGGGATGTCTTCCTGGGGGAAAGAGGAAAAGGGATATAGGGGAAATTTTGGGCAATTTAAAATCAAAAGATATCAATAAAATATATTTTTTAAAAATAGAAAGGTGGGAGTGCCAAAGATGTGATATACTGTATATACTTTCAGA